TTTTTGCTTTTGCTTGTAGATAGTTTACTTTATTGAATATACACGCACTAGCCACTTTATTAGGTACACCGGTCCAACTGATCGTTAACGCAAAGTTTTAATCAGCCAATCACATAGCAGCAACTCAATGCATTTAGGCATGTAGACATGGTCAAGATAATCTGTTGCAGTTCAAACCGAGCATCAGAAGGGTGAAGAAAGGTGATTTAAGTGACTTTGAACGTCGCATGCTTGTTGGTGCCAGACGGACTGGTCTGAGTATTTCAGAAAATGGGATTTTTTACGCACAGCCATATCTAGGGTTTAAAAGCAGCAGACCACACCGGGTGCAACTCCTGTCAGCTAAGAACAGGAAACTGAGGCTAAAATTCTGACCAAACTGGACAATAGATGATTGGAAATACATTGCCTGGTCTGATGAGTCTCCATTTCTGCTGCGAAATTCGGATGGTAGGGTCAGGATTTGGCATCAACAACATGAATCATGGATCCATCCTACCTTGTATCAACGGTTCAGGCTGGTAGTGTAATGTGTGGGGGATATTTTCTTGGCACACTTTGGGCCCATTAATACCTATTGAGCATTATGTCAATGCCACAGCCTACCTGAGTATTGTTGCTGACCATGTTCATCCCTTTATGACCACAGTGTACCCATCTACTGATGGCTACTAGCAGGATAACACACCATGCCATAAAGTGTGAATCATCTCAGGCTGGTTACTTGAACATGACGATGAGTTCACTGTACTCAAATGGCCTACACAGTCAACAGATCTAAATCCAATAGAGCACCTTTGGGATGTGGTGGAAAGAGAAATTCACATCATGGATGTGCAGCCGACAAATCTGCAGCAACTGCGTGATGCTATCATGTCAATATGGAGCAAAATCTCTGAGAAATATTTCCAGTGCCTTGCTGAATCTATGCCACAAAGGATTAAGGCAGTTCTGAAGGCAAAATAGGGTCCATCTGGTACTAGTAAGGTGTACCTAATAAAGTGGCCGGTGAGTGTATATACTGAACCATACCAAAACTGTGACCCTAAAACCATAATACAAACCAAACCATGAGCACTCTGTTCTGTTGCATTCCTAATATCCAGTAATAAATGTGTAATATAAACGACTTTATCGCACTTTACTATCATTTCATCCCAAAAATCGCTCACCACAGCACATTTATTATCCTCTTAGGTATGTGATAAAAAGGCTAATCAATGCATGTGACAATTACATTTCTGTGCACAGAGCTGCTTTCGCTATGCATGAAAGTTTTAGATTTACAGTTCATTTATGCAGAGGCACAGAAGCTGTATATATTTAAATACACTAACAATTGCAGGAAACAATGGATTGCATGTATTGATTGTTATTTCGTGTGCACAGTAGGCAGAAAATAAGACATGTGCTGACTGATCATGACAGATCTGCTTTAAGGTTGACTCTGTAAAGATGCTTTCTGTGCAGAACTTGCCAGGGGCACATTTCCCAAAAGTATTGTTAGCCAAATGTAGTCTTCACAAACATAGTTCAGCGATTTTAGAGTTTCCTTTAGCTCCAATACAGACTCACAAACAGCACTGCAAAAACTGTGTGGTTGAAACTAAGCTGCAATTGGTCAATTAAATTAATGATTGAATGCAACCCAGGTTATTCTGAAAGCATAGTGCCGCGTTTCTGGAGATTGCAAAATACATAGCCGGAGGTATGTACGGCTGCATTTTTTTTTTTTTTAAGCAAACGATACAGGGCGGTATGACGCCTTTCCTTTTGGTGCTCACCGGCTGACCGCTTATCTCCATTTGGAGGGCTTTCCCGCCGCAACCAGTTTGTCCGGTTAGCTCGTCGTGTACATCGGCGGACTTGAGACGCAGAGAAGGAGTTGACAACAAGCGCTCACAGCGGCCTCTCGCGGATTCGCGAGAACAAAACCTGCAAAAATAAGTACCTCCTGGGACGTATTTCGTGGCCCCCAGAAACGTCCATGGGACTATGCTTTCAGAATGAGCCTTGGTTGATTTAATATGCATTAAATGAATAATGGTGGCAGCATGGTGGCGCAGTGGGTAGCACATTCGCCTCACAGCAAGAAGGTTGCTGGTTTGAGTCTCGGCTAGATCAGTTGGTGTTTCTGTGTGGAGTTTGCATGTTCTCTCTCCGTGTTTGTGTTGGTTTCCTCCGGGTGCTCCGGTTTCCCTCACAGTCCAAAAACATGCGGCACAGGTGAATTGGGTAGGCTAAATTGTCCATGAGTGTGAATGGATGTTTTCCAAAGATGGGTTGCAGCTGGAAGGGCGTCCGCTGCATAAAACGTTCTGCTGTTTAATAAAAGTAATAAAGGTACTAAGCTGAAAAAAATGAATGAATGAATGAATCTGACCAGCTATTTGTTTTTCTTTCCCTTATTTATTTATTTATTTATTTATTTATTTATTTATTTATTTATTTATTTATTTTTATTTATTTATTTATTTATTTATTTATTTATTTATTTATTTATTTATTTATTTATTTGTTTGTTTGTTTGTTTATTTATTTATTTATTTGTTTGTTTGTTTGTTTGTTTATTTGTTTATTTATTTATTTATTATGGAGCCATTATATTATTATTATTTATTATGGAGCTATTATATCCATCTTTACCAGACTCGGGCAAAGTCTGCCTTTCCTTTAACTCCGTCCCCAATCCCCAGCTGGCCCTCTTTGGCCTACAGGAAGCCCTGCTTTGGCCCGATCAGGCCCCGGAAGTGACAGTGGAAACACGACTGGCCCTGGTTTGCTCGCTTTAGATGCGATAGTGGAAACGCGGCTATTGACATCCACAGTAGGAAAAACAAATACAAAAAACAATGCTTTCTTTAAAAATATCTTATTTTGTGTTCAGCGGAAGACAGAAACTCAGCTAGGTTTACAACAAGTAAAAGGTGAATAAATGAGCTATGAAATACCTTCATTTATCCATCCAAATTAAGGAACGGTTTGTGACTTTTTGACTAACCGACCAATAGTTCAACAATAAATGTTGTTCCAGCATCAAATGATGTTGATCCAGGAACATGTCCTAGTTGGCAAAAACACAGTCAGCCAATGGTTTGCGTGGGAGCTTGGGCTTACAGTGTAAGCGTCTCCAATCAGATTCACAGCCTGCGCTTTCTGTCATGGCACCAAACAGCATATCTGTCTCACTGTAAAAAAAAAAAAGTTGAATAGACGATATATTGATTTTCCCACCTAATGTGGGGCTGAGAGGATGTCAAGCTCTAGTGAACAAGTCATGGCTATCGATTTGCTGCTTCCCTTCATTACTTGAGATGAATTCATGAAAGGCAGCATTTCTGAACACTCACACTCACACACACACACACACACACAAAGCTGTGTTTTGAAGATAACCGCTGAGCACAAATGTCGCCCCAGGCTAAGAGGAAGAGAACAGCGGCATATGAAAGAGGAGCAGGGAGAGTGCAACGATGGAAAGAGTAGGAGAAGCAGATGAGATGAGTGCTCAGAGTAGGATGAGGGTTTGCGGAGGCGTTTGTGTGTAGTGTGCGGCAGTGCAGCGGGAAGTGCGGACACCTGCAGAACTACAGGGCACGGAGAGTGCGGCGCCGTGGGCCGCGCTGTGTGGGAGAGGCTGTTTGCACACACAGATTCAGCCAGCCACCCTGCGTTCCCTCAGCAGCTTCATCCAGAGCTTCCATTCTCATCAGGAAACCTTCGCTGAATGAATGTTTCAGAGATTACGCCAGGGCCAAAAAAGTAGTGTGTGATTTTATGAAGCCATATGAAGCTTATTAAGTCGTGACATATGGAATACTGTTTACAAGTCCCTGGAGCTACTCCTCATATAGTTTTTTAAAAAATCATGGTGTACACAGTCTCTGAATATCAATATTTTACCAATTTATACAAAGTTAATCACTTTCTGGCCATTTGACATTAGGCATTGTGGTATATATATTGCGATCATGACTTTCGAAAGTATTACAGCGGTTTATTATTACCATTTATTGAGCCTCCCTGTATTTTTTGATCAGTGGTGGAAAGAGTACTGAAAACTCCAACCCAGGCTCATTGTGAAAACGTAGTCTCGCGGACGTTTCTGGAGACCGCGGAATACGTCCCGGCAGGTACGTACGGCTGCAGTTTTTGTTTTTGCGAATCCGCAAGAGGCCACTGTTGTGCGCTTTTTCGCATCTCTCGCGAGTGCAGTTCGCGCCTGCGCTGTTCTCGCGTGAATCCACCAGAGGCCGCTGTCCGACTGACCGGATGATTGACTGCGCCTCCTTCCCTGAACCCAACCAATTTTACCGATTGACCCGCCCGCCCGCTCGCTTCCCTAAACCCGAGCAACAGTTTACAAAAGCTGTCCAAAAAAAATAAAAGCCCTGATTTTTTTTTTCTACCACGTTTTTCGGATTTCACCGCGTTCTCACCCTGTTACGAAACTCGTTCACTTAATTTTTGAGATTGTATTTTTGTCTTACCTGATTGCTGGAACCGCTCTTCCCCGGACTCAACTCCTCTCTGCATCTCAAGCCTGCCAACGTACACGGTGAGCTGAGTGGACAAACGGGGTCCAGCGGGGAAGCCCTCCACTAGGAGGTAAGCGGTCGGCCGGCAAGCGCGAAAGGGAAGAGCGTCACACCGCCCCGCAGCGTAAATAAATGCAGCCGTACGTACCTTCCGGGACGTATTCCGCTGTCTTCAGAAACGTCCGCAAGACTACGTTTTCAGAATGAGCTTGGGTTGGAAAACTCATACTCAAGTAAAAGTACCATTACTTGCCTAAAAATGTAGTGCAAGCAGAGTAAAAGTATCTGTTGTAAATATTAATGAAAGTATGAGTAAAAGGTAGCCCTTTCAAAAGTACTCAGGAGTAGTGTTAATTTTCTGTCATATTTTACTTGGAAAAAAACACACATTGAATGTAAAGTGAATTGTACGTTTGACAAGCTGCTTTTTTAAATGGAAAAAGGAAAAATCTGTCTCCTTACCTTATCATCCAGTTTCTTGGCACAGAAGGAAAGCTCCACGTAGCCATTGTTCCCAGAAATCTCCTCTGCGTGAATCTTGGGAAATAAGAAAGGGATTATCTGAGACAAAGCCAGTCAACATTGTGTTATTGTTTGTACTCTATATTTGGACACTCAGCCTCCCCATGTTTACATTTTAAACCTTTTATTTCATCTATCATTTATCTATCTATCTATCTATCTATCTATCTATCTATCTATCTATCTATCTATCTATCTATCTATCTATCTATCTGTCTGTCTGTCTGTCTGTCTGTCTGTCTGTCTGTCTGCCTGCCTGCCTGCCTGCCTATCTATCTCTCTCTCTCTATCCATCCATCCATCCATCCATCCATCCATCCATCCATCCATCCATCCATCCATCCATCCATCCATCCATCCATCCATCCATCCATCCATCCATCCATCCATCTATCTATCTATCTATCTATCTATCTATCTATCTATCTATCTATCTATCTATCTATCTATCTATCTATCTATCTATCTATCTATCAATTTGTCTGTATGTATGTTCTTGTTTAGCCCTATCCGCTATCCATCCATCTAAATAACAAACCTGACCAATCATCCATTCATCCATCTGTTTATTTTTCCACCCATCACGCCATCCATCCGTTCATCCATCAATTCATTTTAATCACACATCCATCATATCATTCATTGGTTCATCCGTCCGTTCATCCACCCATTTATCAATCAATACATCCATTCAATGGATGAATCCATTTCATTCATCCATTCATCCCAAACACCCATCCAACCATCTATCCATACATACATATATCCATCCATCCATACATACATACAAATCCCCCATCCATCTGTTTAACTGTTCATTTAGATATCCATCCAATCACCTTTTTATCTATCCCAATCAATCATCCATCAGTTCATCCATTCATCTGTTTATCCATCCCAATAAACCACCCATTGATTTATTATTGCATTCATCCATCCAAATCACCCAATCCTTCCATACATCCATACATCTGTGTATCCATACATACATCCCAATCACTTATCCGTACATACATTCATTTATTCCTCTGTCCATTCATTCATACACTTATTCGTTATACCACCCATCCATTCAATCCTCCATATGTCCATCCATCCACCCACATTCATCTATTCCTCTTTTCATCTATCTCAACCAACCATTTATTCATTTAACCATCCATCTATTCATCCATCCCACACAGCCAATCCTTCTGTGCATTCATCCATTTATCTTTCTGTACATTCATTCATTCATTCATTCATCTGCCAATCTGGTCTTTCTCCTACCTACCCCTGAGGCTGTATATTCACCCATCCCTCCATTCATCAATCTTTCTGTACATTAAATATTATTAATTAATTATAATCAATTAATTAATTCATTCATTCATTCATCTGCCCATCTGGTCCTTCTCCCACTTACCCATCGATCTGTATATTCATATATCTATCCATCCAACTTTCTGTTCGTACATTCATTCATTCATCTGCCCACCAGGTCCTCCTCCCACCTACCCTTCAGTCTGTATATCCATCCATTCATCTCTCTGTACATTCATATATTCATTCATTCTTCTGCCCATCTGGTCCTCCTCCTACCTACCCCTAAGTCTGTATATCCATGCATCCATCCCTCTGTACATTCATTCAATCATTTATTCATTCATTCATTCATACACTCATTCATTCATCTGGCTCTCCTCCCACCTACACCTCAGTCTGTATATCCACTCATCCATTCATCCATAGCACAGTCTGTATTTCCATCCATCCATGCATCTCTCTGTAGCTTTATTCGATAATTCATTCATTCATTCATTCATTCATTCATCTGCCCATCTGGTCCTCCTCCCACCTACCACTGAGTCTGTATATCCATCCAGCTATCCATCCATCTCTCTGTACATTCATTCACCCATTCAGTCATTCATTTATACACTTACTCATTCATTAATCTGCCCATCTGGTCCTCCTCCCACCTACACCTCAGTCTGTATACCCATCCATCTCTCTGTACATTCATTCACCCATTAATTCATTAATTCATTCATTCATTCATACAATCATTCATTCATCTGGCCATCTGGTCCTCCTCCCACCTACCCCTCAGTCTGTATATCCATCCATCCATCCATCCATCCATCCATTCATCCATGCATCTCTCTGTACATTCATTCATTCACGCATTCATCTGCCCATCTAGTCTTCCCACCTACCCTTGAGTCTGTATATCTATCCATCCATGTCTCTGTACATTCATTCACCCATTCATTCATTCATTCATTCATTCATTCATCTGCCCATCTGATCCTCCTCCCACCTATAGCGCAGTTTGTATTTCCATCCATCCATGCATCGCTCTGTACCTTCATTTGATAATTCATTCATTCATTCATTCATTCATTCATTCATTCATTCATTCATTCATTCATTCATTTATCTGCCCATCTGGTCCTCCTCCCACCTACCCCTAAGTCTGTATATTCATCCATCTCTTAGTACATTCATTCACACATTCAGTCATTCATTTATTTATTCATACAATCATTCATTCATCTGCCCAACTGGTCCTCCTCCAACCTACACCTCAGTCTGTATATCCATCTATCCATTCATCCATCCATCTCTCTGTATATTCATTCATCCATTCAGTCATTCATTTATACACTCACTCATTCATTAATCTCCCCATCTGGTCCTCCTCTTACCTACGCCTCAGTCTGTATATCCATCCATCCATCTCTCTGTACATTCATTCATTCATTCATTCATTCATTCATTCATTCATTCATTCATCTGTCTATCTAATCCTTTTCCCACCTATCCATCAGTCTATATATTCATCAATACATCCATTTATCCATCCATCCATCCATCCATCCATTAATCCATCTTTCTGTCTATTTATCTAGAAACTCAAAAAGTATAAATCAAAGATTAACTGCTGTCACTTGACCAAAAGTCTTTTGTTTACAAGTTTTAAAGCACTTTGCTGTGTCCGGAAACGATTTACTACATAATGTAATGTGAACAACACTGATTTCGAAAGCCATTTCTGAAGTCTTTGACCTCTATTAGTTTGTTTGCAAAGAAAAGAGAGCAGAACTGCTGAAATCATCCCATTCTCCCTCACCTCAGATCAAAAAGTGTATTCGTCAGCATTAGAAATGTACAACTAGTGTGTAATCCAATGAGGAGGCCCAGCAAAAACAGTCATCCCTGCTGGTGTTTCAACATGAAAAGGCCATTAGTCTGCAATGTGGTCAGGAGAAATTTCATTCAAACTGATGAGAAAGCAGAGAATCTACACCTATGATAAGGATGTGGTGTTACGTTTTGTCTTACGAATGAACCCCTGCACTTGAAACATGCACAAATGGCTAGGGACATCACTTTTTTAATGTTTTTTTTTTTTGCATGTGTAGTTTGAGTTGAACAGGCAGTGATATTGTAAATGAAAAACTATTTTGACATACCGAAATTGATACACTACATTATTTTACACCATGTTTGCAGATATTGCGAGACTATCCAGCGACAGAAGATAGCAAACAGCAGAATTTAAGATGGAGGTCAAACCATTCGCACTACAATGGAAAACTACGCCGTTTTATTAAAAGTCCTCACAGCTTAGACCTTATTTCTGACTTTTTAATGCTTATAGAGATTCCCATTATCTATCTCTCGACCGTCAAACTTACTCAACCGTATTAAGGAATATTTTAAAGTGACATTTCATTCCAGAAGTAATAGGACAAAGAAGATCTCTCATTTTGTAATGTGCAGTCATCCTCTGAGAACAGTGATGAGTGATGTGGGCAGGATTTGGCATTTAGTTGGCACTTCAGAAAAAGGGTAGTCCTATAGACAGCGATGAATACCACTTATGACTGATATCTCAATGCAAACTGTGCATTGTAAAAGGGTGAGTGTAGGTGCCAACAACCCACTTGTGGTTAAGAGCAATAACTAATAAAGATATAAATAAACATTCAGTCATTCTGCTTGAATGAGATAAGCAAAGTTTACACACCAGTCTACACTATTGTTGAAATCACTCACTTTGCATTCAGCTGAATAACAATTAAACATCAATAGCCAAATACTGTAGATTCCACCTGACTTTTATAAGCTTATGTATTTAAAGTGGTAGATTATTGTATTGTGTAACTGGTGAGTGATTCATTCATTCATTTTCTTTTTTCGGCTTAGTCCCTTTATTAATCTGGGGTCACCACAGCGGAATGAACCACCAACTTATCAAATCTGTTTTTACACGGCGGGTGCCCTTCCAGCCGCAACAAATCTATCGCTGTAGATTTTTTTTTTCTTTTTTTTTTCTTGCAGTGTGAGTTTTAAACCAAATATCAAAGTACTCTTAAAGCAGGGGTGTCAAACTCAATTCTTGGAGGGCCGAAGCCCTGCACAGTTTAGTTCCAACCCTGCTCCAACACACTTACCTGTAGGTTTCAAACAAGCCTGAAGGACTCAATTAGTTTGATCAGGTGTGTTTAATTAGGGTTGGAACTAAACTGTGCAGAGCTGTGGCCCTTTTGGAACTGAGTTTGACACCTGTGTCATAAAGGGACTGTTCACCCAAAAATGAATATTCTTCCATCATTTACTCATCCTCCACTTGTTTAGACTTGCTTGAGTTTTTTTTTTTCTTCATTTGAACACAAAACAAGATATTATGAAGAACACTGGGGGGAAAATAAAATATGAGCAAGCCTTTATTTTTAAATATTTAATCAGGCCAGTAAGGTCTGACTTTGCATAGACAAAAGTCTTGTCACTTAACAGAAATAATGTCCAGTATAGAATATAAAGTCATGCTGCAGTGGAAAAACAATTAATATGTGTATGACTTCCATGAGCTTGGAGGACTGCATCCATACATCTCTGCAATGACTCAAATCACTGATTGATAAAGTCATATGGAATGGCAAAGAAAGCATTCCTGCAGGACACTTTGGATTCATCTTCAATGTGTCCTCCTTCATCTTACCCCAGACATGCTCAATAATATTCATGTCTGGTGACTGGGCTGGCCAATCCTGGAGCACCTTGACCTTCTTTGCTTTCAGGAACTTTGATGTGGAGGCTGAAGTATGAGGAGCAGCGCTATCCTGCTGAAGAATTTGCCCTCTCCTGTGGTTTGTAACGTAATAGGCAGCACAAATGTCTTGATACCTCAGGCTGTCGATGTTGCTGTGTCTCTCACACACACCGCCATACTGAATGTAACCCCAAACCATGATTTTTTCTTCACCAAATTTGACTGATTTCTGTGATGATTGTGATGCAGCTCAACAGATGATTCATCAGAAAAATCTACCTTCTGCCACTTTACCTAATGATCAACTAGAAAAGTCAAGTTATTAGTTGTTCTTTCAACTAGGATCGACGACAAGACTTTTGTCAGGTAGTGGTCGTTTTTTTTTTTAATATCTTGTTTTGTATTCAACAGAAGAAAGAAATTATTAAGTGTTTAGACCCACTTGAATGTGAGTAAATGATGGAGAAATTTTCGTTTTTGGTTCAACTATCCCTTTAATAGTTGAAATCCTAAATCCTGACACTAATGCAAAAGAGGGTGTGTTGCTCGCACAAGCTGTTAATAAATCTGCCCATATAAGAGAGACAGTGATTGATTTTGTCTAATTGAACACACTAATTGCCATATGCAAATATTGTTGTCAAAAACATCTCTGTGGAACAATGGATACTGTCGAATGGTGAATTGGCCTGGCAATCAATGCCTGCTTCCATCTTGCACAGAAGCACATCTCACTCCTGATCTTGTGTCTCCAGTAAAATAACTCAAACTGTTTTGCTCTTATTATGTAAGCAAAATGCCTTTGCAGATGGTAAAATGAGGAAAAAACAGATGAAACGTCTACCATGAGCCCTCTCTCAGTAAATCTACAGCAGCAATTAAATCTGAAATGTGTGTGCAGATTGTTTCTACTCACCGTGATGGTGGATTTTCCTGCATATTTTCCATATTTCAGCAACAGAGGTTTCATCATCTTTTTTTGGGCCACTATCTGGAACAGATTGAAAATGAAGAAATATAAAAATCTAATGTGTATGGCACAATATATAGTTGAATTATTATTTTAATAATTCATTCATTCATTTCGGCTTTGTCCCTTGGTCCCCAGCCGAGGCTTGAACCAGCAACACCGTGCAGCCCATTATATTAATAATTTTTCAAATATTTCCCAAGTGACAGAGCAAGGAATTTTTTTACTGTATTTCCTAAAATATTTTTGAAAACACTTTTGTTTAAGTCACAATTCACGATATTAACTACTGGCTTCCTATCTGCCTATTATTAGGATATTAACTGCATATAAGTAGCTATGAAGTATGATCTTATACATCTATAGTCCTACCTAAAACCTAAATCCAACTACAACCTTGCTAACTATTAATAAGCAGCTAATTACCAGTTGATTAGTCTTAGTTAATAGTTTGTTAATAGCATAAATAGTGAAAAATAAAGTGTTACCATATTCTTTTAGTTTGATACAACTAACAAGCCCCACCTTCTCATGGATGTGTATATGAAGGATGTGCGTTTGAAGCTTATCCTAAGTAATGTATTCAACCCAGGATCATTATGAATACGTACCCCTGCATACATTTCTAAACAGCATGAAACACGTCCCAGGTGGTACGTTTTTTTTTTTTTTTTTTTTTTTTGCAGTTTTTGCAGTTTTTGTTTTGTTTTCCTTAAAATCAAATTAGTTACTTTTTGCTCTTTCTGATTGTATCGGACTATAAATTTTAAAGCGAAGGTTGACTGAAATTTATGAAGCTTAATTTTAAAAACATTTTTAAAAGCAACCCAGGCTAATTGTGGATATGCACCCTTGTAAACATTTTTGGAGAGCACGAAATACATCACAGGAGCTACGTTTTTTTTTTTTTTTTGAGTTTTTGTTTTCGCGAATCTACCAGAGGCCGATGTGTATGCTTTTTCAGATCTTAAATTTTTCTCACGACTGCCATTCACACCTGCTCTTCTCATGTAAATCCACCAGAGGCCGTACTTGACTGACTGACTGACTGACTGACTGACCGATTGCACCACCTTTCCCTAAACCCAACCGATAATGTTTTCAAAAGCCCCGATTGACCTGTCCACTGCCTTCCCTGTACACAAAAGTGTTTTCAAAAGTGATCCAGAAAAAGTAAAACCCTTGTGGCTGCATGATTTTTACCACGTGTTCAGATCTTACCATGTTCTCATCCAGTTATTTACTTGTTTATTAAATTTTTTGCTTTTGGTTTTACCTACTATCTGGAACCGTTCATGGCTGGAGTTAAACCCTGTTTTCAGGGTCAACTCCTCACTGTGTCCCAAGTTCGATGACATACGCAGCAAGTCACTGGACAAACTGATAACAGCTGAAAAGCTGTCTACACGGAAGCGCGAAAAGAAACCGAAATCATCAGCAGGATCTTACTGCTCTGTAGCTTTTGCTTTAAAGATGAAATGCAGCCATACTTAGTTCTGGCTACAAAATATGCTGTCCAGAAATGAGCCTGTGTTGAATGTATTTCAGATTTGCAAAAATATAGACAGCACCCTCTGGTTGATTTGTCATCTGAAATGTGCAACAAAGCATACCTAGAGTAATGTATTTTACGTTTTGCAAAAATGTAGGCTGAGGTACATATTTCCAATGAGGTGACTACATCAAGGGCTGCACGGTGGCTCGGTGGTTATCACAGCAAGAAGGTTGCTGGTTGAGTCCCGGCTGGGTCAGTTGGCATTTCTATGTGGAGTTTGCATGTTCTTCCTGTGTTCGCATGGGTTTCCTCCAGGTGCTCTGGTTTCCCCCCTTTATGACCACAGTGTATCCATCATCTGATGGCTTCTTCCAGCAGGATAATGTGCCATGTCATAAAGCGCAAATCCTCTCAGACTCTTTTCTTGAACATGACAATGAGTTCATTATGCTCAAATGGCCTCCACAGTCACCACATCTCAATCCAATAGAGCCCCTTTGGGTTGTGGTGGAACGGGACATTTGCATTATGGATGTGCAGCCGACAAATCTGCAGCAACTGCGTGATGCTGTCATGTCAAAACGGACCAAAATCTCTGAGGAAACATTTCCAATCCCTAGTTGAATCTATGCCACGAAGGATTAACGCAGTTCTAAAGGCAAAACGGGGTCCAACCCAACCTGGTACTAGTAAGGTGTACCTAATAAAGTGGCCGTGAGAGTAATTCAAATTTTGGGGTAAACTAACCATTAAGAAAAATAACCTAAGACTAAGCTCACCCAAGTCATTGAGCTAACTTAATCCTTAAATTGTGTTTCATTAATATTAAATGACAATCCAAACTGAAGTCACCTGTCCAAGTGTGCACTCCACACCACCTAGGAAGTCGTCATCGCGTGTTCCAATACTGTGAGCTCCGTGAATGTCGTACACTTCAAATCGCAGTTTCTGCACTTCCTCAAAATAGTAGTCCAGCATCAAGACCTTAGCGAAGACTGGATTCAGGTTGCTCTTGATCACCTCAGTACGGTCCAGCTGAAACACAGAAGAACATTTCAGTTAAAAGTGCAGTCTGTAGGATTGACACCTAGTGTTTAAACCAGGTATTGCAGTGCAAATTCAAAATATTGGAAAGGGTTGTTTTCACCCTGCCACTCCTACAATTATTCGACACACATGCAGGTTGCCAGAGTCACACCAAGCACAATAACTATAAAGGTAATGGTAAAGATATTATTCTAAAAATCATCAACATTATTAAATAGCATAGTTCACAAAACAACTATAACGATAAAGATACAGAGGACTGATATTGTTGGAATCACTTTCAGAACATTTTTCCCAGCTGCTGAACAATAAAATACTGACATCCCCGCCAGAATCCATTAAAATATCAAAAGGGCTCAAGCAATTTAAAGCTGCAAATGACATTCTCAGATGACTATCGTGGAAACAATTGCTTTTACCATAGGAAATAAGGATAAAAATTTAGATGGAAGTTATTCAACACAGGCTGGCAAATTAAAATGTAAAAATAAAGTACCTTTCTTTTAAAGGCTTTATTTAAAAAAATGCATAAATCAGATCATCTATTTTTTTATTATTATTATTATTACATTATTATAACAGGTTTGGAGCAACATGAGAATCAGTGCTGAATGATATGTTATTATTTATTTATTATTTATTTGCTTTAGATGGAGTTTGTTAGTTAATTAAATAATTAATTTTGTTTTTTATTGGATATGTGATTGTGATAAATGTTGGCTGTTGCTTAGAAAATATGCTATAGGTTTTACCATGGGGGTCAAACTCCGTTCCTGGAGGGCTGCAGCCAGCAGAGTTTAATTACCGCCCTGCTTTAAATTAGATGTAGATTTCTAACAAGCCTCAATTAGTTTAATCACATGTGTTTAGTTAGGGTTAAAGCTGCGGTCACATTTGACTTTTCTCCCCACAGACTTCCATTCATACGCACGCGAATGCATCATACCGGGCATGCAGGGTCTTGTGTTTAGTTTTGCAGGTCACTGCGGTGCAAAGTTCAAGCTTGGCGATCTCTGACCTGCGAAATCGCATCACTTGACTGCGTGAGACCAATCGAAGATCTAAACGTGCACTCTGGACAGAAATTTAAAACATAGAGCAATCTCTTGCTTTATTTAATGTCTAATAATCTTGTTTAATCCCGCCCCTTTTCGCAGCGCCGTACGACAGAATTTCGCACACACAAATGCTAGAGTGACCACAGCTTAATTGTGCAGACCTGTGACTCTCAGTAATGTGTCAGATTATATGTAATTGTTTGACACCTGTGCTGCTGTTAACTAATTTACACATTTTTCATTGTAAATAGAAAATATATTCATATCTGCTGATTTCTTTAAATTTCTTATACATTTTCTGTTGTTTATTTGTTTGCTGCCAAAACAATAAAATACATTTGTCTGAAGAATTGATATGCTTTCTGCATTTCAATAACTGTTAAAAATACTGATTCATTTTAGTAACACTACAATAACTATACAGTGCATCCAGAAAGTATTCATAGCGCTTCACATTTTTTTATGTTAAAGCCTTATTCCAAAATGGATTAAATAATTTTTTTCCTCACAATTCTGTACACAATACCCAATAATGACAACGTGAAAAAAAACTCATTCTGGAAACGTAGCCCCCGGACGTTTCTGGAGACCGTGTTTTACGTGGCTGCATTTTTTCAAGCGAATGCTATAGGGCTGTGTGACGCCGCTCCTCTTTGCGCTCGCCGGCTGACAGCTCACCTCTTGGTAGAGGGCTTTCCCGCTGCAACCAGTTTGTCTGGTTAGCTCGTCGTGTTCGTCGGCGAAGCAGAGAGCAGGAGGGGAGCCGAGCGCGGCGACGACTGAGTTCAAGTCCAGGGAAGAGCGGTTCCAGAAATCAGGTAAGACAAAAACAGACTCCAAAAAATAAAGCAAATGAGTTTATAACAGGGTGAGAATGTGGTGAAGTCGGAAAACGCGGTCAAAATCAGAAGATGAGGCTTTTCTTTTTTTGAACGGCTTTCGTAAATCGTCACTTAGGTTTAGGGAAGCAAGCGAGCGGGCAGGCAGGTCAATCTGTAAAACCGGTTGGGTTTAGGGAAGGAGGAGGGTTGGGTTGACCGCCCAGTCAATCGTTCAGTCATTCGGTCAGTCAGTCGGATAGACAGTCGCTCGACAGCGGCCTCCGGGGGCTTTACGCGAGAACAGCACGGGCGTGAACGGCGCTTGCGAGAGGCGTTCTAGAAGCAAAAAAGTGTGCACAGCGGCTTTCGCTATTTCGCGGCCTCCAGAAACATCCGCAGGGCTATGTTTCCAGAATGAGCCTGGGTTGGAAAAATCACATGTACATCAGTATTCACAGCCTTTGCCGTGAAGCTCTAAATTGAGCTCAAATACATTCTGTTTCCACTGATCATTCTTGAGAGGTTTCAACAGCTTTATTGGAGTTCACCTGTGGTAAATTCAGTTGATTAGACATGATTAGAAAAGGCATACACCTGTCTATATAAGGTCCCAGGGTTGACAGTGCATGTCAAAGCACAAACCAAGCATGAAGACAAAGGAATTGTCTGTAGGCCTCCGAGATAGGATAGTCTTAAGGCACAAGGTTGGGGAAGGTTACAGAAAATTTTCTGCTGCTCTGAAAGTTCCAAAGAGCACAGCAGCCTCCATCATCCGTAAGTGGAAGATGTTTGGAACCACCAGCACTCTTCCTATAGCAGCCCCACCTAGCCCTTATTTTAAGCTCGCCCTGACTGTAAGCTCCTCAGCTAATGTTAACCTTTGTAGATTTGCATTATTTGCTAATTAAAAAGCACCTCACCACCTGACCTCTGAATCTGGAGCTCATTTAAAAGGCTGATATTTACATAATCTACATTGAGACAGACTAAATGAAATATATTGTGTGTTCCTCCAAGGAAACCCAGATTGCTGAAATTCAAATGGGTAAACTGGCAGTGGGCTGGTTATAGAGACCCATAGATATATACACTAGATATCGCATACGGACCCTGAACATGCATCAATTGCGCCGCCAGATATGTACAGTGCTCCCAGCACAAACGTCTTTCAACAGCACTAGTCAAGACATTGTGCCAACTTGAAGATGCTAGACTTTAGCGCTGGACTTTAACGAACAAACAAAGAAAACAAAGCACACAGGCAGAACATTTCCTAGGTAAGATTTCGTTTTGTACGTTTTTGTTTGTTATGCATACCTTCCGATAGACAACAGCAGGGTAGGCAACATCTAATGTAAATATCTATGATAGAGACCAAAACAAAGACAGCGATTCCAAGACAGAGCTCACATTTTCAAAGCAGAATATCTGACTTCAGCATTGTCTTTCAGCTAAACACGATTGTTCACTTTGCATATTTCTTAAATATCTGAAAACATATTATGGTATTTTTATCCTTTACAACAGTCAAATACTGACAAACATCACATTTAACAGTATCTCGCTGGAAATATCTGGCATCTCTAAAACCAACAGTCAGATCACAGCCTGAATTGTTCATTCTCAACCCCTGGATGAACTCGAATAAAGAGACGACAGTGAGGGTGAAGGCCTCATGAGTCTAATTGTTGATCTTCAACACATGCAGCTGCGACATTTTCTGTTCTCGTTTCTCATTCATCAGCCGTCTTTCTCCTCATCTCCCCCCCTCCTTTTGCTCTTGTTCACTGATGTACGTCAAAAAACAAACAGAGCAAATACAATCATTTCTGAATTAAAAATCAATTAGCTGTAGAAGTTAATGCATCACTCTCAGAGATACTAGGGAAATCGTTTTGTCGAGAGATCTGCAATCTGAAAACAACAATAGGTTACTTTTCCAGTGTATAAAAGCAAAGGATGATCGAACAAAGAGTGGATGTTCACAAAAGAAGTGCTTAAAGTTTGTCAGATGTAGCCTTGAGACCGTCCAATAACTTTTTGACAATAGCTCAGATGTTTTCATAATGACAATAGTGCAGCTTTTCCAGTAAAATCTGTTCCAGTAACATGCTTATTACTTTGACTCACTGTTTTCTGGTTAATTTGTTCGATGGTTCACGTAAATGGGCTTTACTGAATAAATGGTTTACTGCTTCCCTGGAGTGTGTAAGAGGAACTGCTGATGTTTTCGCTGCCTTTCTGATAGTTTTCTAGAGTTTTATTCTTAATAACACATTTCTTTTGTCTTTGTCATGATGGTAGTACATAACATATTTCTGTCTATTTTGAAAGATACTAGTAGTCATAATTTTAAAGCTTAGCTAGGTTAATTATGTTAACTAGGCTAAGTTACGTTAATTAGACAAGTCACTGGAAAATTTGAAAAACTATTTTCCTTATAGGGGCTAATAGTATATTGACCTAATAGTATATTAACAGAATATTATTTCGTTTTTTTTTATTAAAAACCACTTTTATTCCAATCAAAAAAAAAAAAAAGACTTTCTGGAGGAAGTGCCATTCGCACCTGCTCTTCTCATGTAAAACGACCAGAGGCCGCTGTCGACAGACTGACCAATACACCCACCCACCCCTTCTTTAAACCAAGCCAATAATGTTTTTTAAAAGCACTGACTGACCTAATAACCACCATCCCTAAACCCAACCGACAGTGTTTTCAAAAGCAATTCAGAAAAATAAAAAGACCTAGCAGCCAACTGATTTTTACTACATTTTCAGATCCTACCGCATTCTTACCCTGTTATTTACTTTTTTGTAATTTTTTTGTCTTTTGTTTTACCTGCTTTCTGGAACTGTTATTCGCCAGACTCAAACCCTATTGTTGCTCTCAACTTCGCTCCGCCTCCAAAGTCCGCTGAAGTACATGGCTAGTCACTGGGCAAACTAGTAACAGTGGAAAAACTGTCCACACGGAGGTAAGCGGTCAGCTAGTAGCGTGAAAAGGAACAGCACAGCGTTCATTTTAAAGAAAAAATACAGCCAGATGTACCTCTGGTTATATAATTCGCTCTCTCCAGAAATGTAGATAGGGGTACATTTTCACAAT